TTCTCTCTCTCTCTCCCCCCCCCTTTTTTATTTCTTTCTCAGAATTGAGCCCAGGGCTTTGCACATACTAGGTAAATGATGCTATATTCCTAGCTCTTTTCACTTTATTTTAAGGAGGGGTCTTCTAAAGTAGCCCAGATGGGACTTGAACTCACGATCCTCTTGCTGCAGCCTCGTGAGTAACTGAGATGACAGGTGCGAACCACCACACACATCATCCTTTCTTTAAGTTTCCCAGCTCTCCCCTGCCTAACTCTGACCCCTCTCCCCAGGAAGCTGTCTGTGGCTGTGTGAGAAGCCCCTCCTCCTATACTGCTGCCATTATCTGAGCATCCTTCCCCCTGCGTAGGACTTAGGTCTGCTCTTATGTCTTAGCTCCTGTGAGGATTCAGTGCTCATTCCATGCAAGGAGCTCAAAAATATTATTGAGGGGAAATTACACTAATTTTTCTTTTATATTACAATCATAGGGTACACTTGTTTGGAGTTTTGCTGAGGTAATATTGAACACTAAGTTCCCTGGATGAAAAGACCATTTCTGAAGAAAAGTAACAATTCTACAACAGAAGTTGGAAGGTTAGTAGTTCACTGAAAGGATCAGTTTGTGATTATATTGTTTGATCAATTTTGCATGCCTGTATTTTGTAATCTGAGCAACTACTTTGAAAATAACAATATACGTTATAATAACCATTGTTAATTCCCTATTATCTTGTTTTGAAATTCCGTATCATTGTTTTTTCTCTTTAAAATAAAAAATGAAGCCAAAATGAAAGACAAAAAATACTGAAAATAAAAGTAAATGTAAAAAGGCGGAAGGATAGTTAATGGATACCCACGTGAGGAATAATACTTTTTTCCAGCAAATATCACACTGTATAATCTCTCTTTTTCTAATACTACTTTCCCCTAGGAAATGAAGTTAAAACTGAATAAAGAAAAGTCCAAGTTATATGCCCATAATGTATCAGAGAAATAAACACTGCCTTAAATAAGTATCCTTACTGCATAAAGAATAGATGCCTAACACTTTTCAAACATTTCTAAGCTAATCCTTAAAGAGGCTACTCAAGACATCAAGCAGTTCTTCCTGGTAAGCCTATTCATTACTAAAAGAGAGCCAACACTTAAGTATGTGTGCTCAATGAAATCCATTCTATTTGTACCTAATTGATTATTTAAAGCATCTTCAAGGACATGTGTAGCAAGTTGAGAGAATGGTTCTCCAAGGATCCCCACAGCCTAATCCCCTAAAATCTTACCTTATAGGGTAAGAGGGACTTTGCAGATAAGTTAAGGATATTGAGATGTGGGAATTGTCCTGGATAATCCGGATGAGCCCAACGTAGTTATAAGGGTCCACATCAGAGCAAGGAAGGAAAGTCCAAGGCAGGCAGAAAAGGACAGGACCATGGAAGAGAGGGGAAGAGAGAAAGAGGGCTGAGGAGGCACCGCTGCCAGTATTGAAGATGGACACTCATTACCCAAGACATACAGGCTGCTCTAGATTCCAGAAGGGATTCTTCCCTAAACCTCCATAAGGAACCATCCTGGAGACACCTGGATATTAGCCTCGGAAGACTAATTTTGGATTGAAGTCTCTTACTGTATTGCTGCTATGAAAACTTACTATAGCAACAATTTAAAAGCTAACATAGAATATATAAAACTATTCTATTTATACATAGAATATATAAAACTTATCTGTGAAGTTCTGTTTGTTATTCTGAAGAATTAGGAATACTCTTCTAAATGCATGATACAAATAACCATCTGTAAACAGACGGCTTGGCTCACTTGGTCCAATAAGGATCCAACTGTTCGTGGGACCTAACAGAATTTGTCTCCCAAAAAACTAGATCTTTTTTTTAACTTTAGGGCTTTTTTTATTTAAATTACAAGAAGAAAAATAGAATACATGAACTAAGTAGAGTTTCTTCAGAAATTATCTCCTTATCTCCAGCGAACATGCCAATAAAACATCCAAATTGCTAGCAGCCTAATCTTAATAACTCTCTAGGGAGAAGGTTACAAACACCTACTGTGATAGCCTATCTTAATTTGATTGTGATAGCTCTTACTATGAAGTTTTTATATATTTTATAAATGCCTCCTTAGAGACTTTCAGCCAATTTCTGCTTATTTTACTTCTTGAGATGGATTTTGGAAAGAATACTGGCTTGAAAGCAGAGAAACTGGATTCTAAACCTGTCCTTGTTGCTTACATCGATGCAAAATTAGCAGTCATTTGTCATCTCTGGATCAGGGCTTCCATCCTTTAATGACCTTCTTTAAGATTGTTTCTACAGTTTTCTCTGCCCCTATGATGCTACAGTTGTCTGCTAATGTATTTAAATTCTTCCACCTTCAAATTATAATGAGTTTTAAGTACACTTCAGTAATATCCAAAGACCCCTATGAAATTTGTTTTTGAGGGCCAGGATACAGTTGAGGGGCACAGACCTTGCCTGGCAAGCTCAAGGTCCTGAGTTCGATTCTCACGAACCCAAAATAAAAATTAAAAATAAAATAAAATAAAATTTGTCTTTGGATCCAGTTCCCAGTCATCAAGCTGAACAAAGAGGAGAGCATTCCATAGTAACTCCTCAGTCTGTTTCCTGTCTTATCAGCACAGTACTAGTACTTCTGAAATATACATGAGTAAACAGCACCTAAGCTATTCAGGAGGCATGAAGAACACCTACTGATAAGCCAAGCTCGTAAAAGGTCATGTTATAAGTAAGCTAGGTTCTACTTCAGCAGCCATAGGCAGCAGACCAATGGAAGGATCTAAGCAAGAAAGAAAAAAAACAGAAAGAGAGAGAGGAGATAGAGCATCACAAGAGGTCTTTAGAAGGGAGGCTCAGAAAGAAGAAGTGAGGTGATGGGATCGAGGGATTGGAATGGGGTGTCCCAGCAATGGGAACATGACTAAAAGAAATTGACACTGAGGGTACAGTCATTGCTGTGATTGTACCTGTGATCATACCATATGGTCTAGGACCATTTGGAGCTGGCTCACAGGAGGAGTTTAGAAGGGGTTAATGCTGGCTACAGAAACCCTATAATGCCATAAGCAGAGTCTGATGAGAGATTCTTGTCAGAGCTCTGAAGACCAAAATGCGGATAGAAGTACAGAAAGCAAAAACTAGACTCAGTATGTTTCAGTTGGGTATAAGGACTCCATTCGCAGTTGGACTGGAGACGAAGTATGTTTCTGCTCTTGCAGAAATTGTGTCTGTATCTTGCCCATGTCCTAAAACTTTGCAGGAGACTGAGATTAAGGGCAGCAGCACCCCAGCGTTCAATCTATGGCATGGATACTGCTTGCTGCTTTTCACCAAGTTTATAGTGAAAATCAAGAGCAAATGGCAAAGTTGAATAATTTGAAAAGTTTCCAGTTTCACTAGAGGGGAAACACCTTCAAAGCTGGGTCAAAGTTGGAATGGTTGCTGAGAATGTTGGGTCAGGGTTGGAATAGCTGCTGAAAAGGCTAGCATTAACAACAAACGAGTACTTTGCATCAGGACCACAGGAAAAGTGGCTTGAGGGTATCTCAGGAATCAGCAACCCACCTTTCCCAGGCTCAAGGGTAGAAAATTATAATTTTGAGAAGAGTCCCTGGGCCTCTTGCTCCAGAAGGGTTGCCTAAGGAAGGTGTTGCCCAGGATTCATCTCACAGTGTTCAGCTACCCAGGCATTCAGACAAGTTAAGGCAACGAGTGGAGCCACCACACAGAGAGGCCAAGAGGGCTGTAACCAGCAATTCCACAGGGCGGGACTTCCCAGCCATATGGAGCTCCAGTGTCAACTTGCTCCCAGCGCTGGACATGGAGCTACCAGAATTAATATTTGCCCCACTGTGTTTCATTCTCACCTGGGTCCAATTTCTTTCTAACCAATTTTCCTTTTTGGAATGTGAATATTTACTCTATGCCTTTTTTTACGGGGGCTCCATTAAGAGTTTGCCTTGAGTCTCAGAGAGACTTCAGACTTGGACTTTTCAGCAAAGCTGGAACCTTATAACTTTGGCAAGTCTTAGAGATGGACTACATGTATTTTGGATAATGAGATGGGCATTATCCTTTTGGGGGCCAGGGGAAGAATGTTATGGTTTAGACCTAGAATGTCCCTAAAAGGCTCATGTGTAGAGCTCAGAAGGTGGAGCTCAGAAGATCAAAAGGCCATCTTTGGAAGACGACTGGATATCTAGAGGTTCTATACTCATAAGTAGGTTCATCCATTGAAGAGTTCAGAGCTGAATGCACTGCTAGGAGGTGCGGTCTGGTCAGAAGAGGCAGGTCCCTGGGCACATGATCTGGAAGGAATACCTCCTTCCTGTTTCCTCCATTTTCTCTCTTTCCCGGCAGCCATGACTTGAGCAACTTTTTATCTGCCATGTCTCCCTGTCATGCTGTTTCTGCCTTGGATCCAGCTGACCATGGACTGAAACTGTAACCAAAATAAACCTCCTCCTTTAAGTTGTGAGTGTCAGGTATCATGTCTCAGCAACAGGAAAGTGATGATTAAGACAACATCCAACTGAGAGTAGAGCAAAAGAACCTGAAGAAAAAAACTAATTTTAAAGCTCTTTGTAGACAGTGGGACAAAACCACTGGAAGACAGGCAAAATACAGTCTCTGCTCCAAACTGTCAACGTAACAGAGGCTGCAGAAGGAAGTGGGAATAGAGCTAAAGAGAAAAAGACTTTCTCCGGGTAATTAGAAAAATAGGCTGAATTGGGCCATGAAGAGGAAAAGACTGATGACATTGGGTAGTGTAGGGTAGAATGGAAATATCTAAGTCTTTCAGGGGAAAGTAAAACTTTCCATTATCATGTTCCAAACTGTGTTGTCCTGCCCTCCACAGAAGATGTGTAAGGGGATATATGTTCTCCTAGAAGGGCAGCTAGGAAACCCTGGGAAATACATCACGAAGAGCTCCCTTTTGGAGATCCTATGGACACTGGCACTGAGCAAGAGGCTCTGAAAGTGCGCTGAAAATGAATCTGTCCTCCTACTAATACACACTTTCCAGATGGATCTGAGCTCAATCTTCTTCTCTGCAGATACCTTACACATTTGGGGAAATTGTATTTTATGCAATATACCACCTCACGTATATTTTCAAGAATTTTATAGCCCTCGTTAAGGACAAATAGTATGTATTAAAACTTTGCCCATTTATAATGCCCTGTGGTTTAGCATTCTGTGCTACCCAAATTTCCATACCCTTAAAAGCAGGGTCTCCAAATACACTGTCCTGCTAGTATAAGAAATTGAATAGTTCTAAAGATCCTTTAAATTCTAATATCAAACAGTAAGAATAAATTAAAATATGTAGTTAAACTTTGTAAATTAAGCAGTTAATATTTATACACTCTAGGAAATTACTGAATTTATATACTTTTATACAATTCCTTACAGACTAGGGTAAGAATAACAGTCTCCATTTAATTATATCACTGTATGAATAATAACTCAGCCTGTAAAATTGAGGAATAATTACCATTTAGACAGACTTACTGATCTTTGCAAAAGTGTTTTCTAAATACGACTCAATATTCAGTGATGTCCAGGTCAGGGCAGCCAAGCCAGGCTGAAGTGCTTCATCCACTTTAGCCAAATGAGGGACCATCAGTTGCTCGACAGCAGGGGGGATTTGTGACTTCACTCTCTGGTATTCGGCCAGCATCATCTGTAATGAAATGGGATTAAATAATCAATATCCCACTTTTAAGATCCATTCACATCATTTTATGTAAAACAAAAATTACTTTTATTTAAGGTTAAATTCTAAAGCTCTAATAACCTACCAGGTAGAATGGTAAAAAGCAAAATAACAGAGAACAGAGACTATTTGTAGAGTCATAAATTCCTAATCCAATAAATTGAAACTGGGAATGAAGAAGAAAAATTTAAGAGCCAGAGTTTCTTAGACTCTTCTTAACCTAAAACGGGAGAAGCGTTTTAAAGTCAAGTAAGCCAAGAAACTTTTCTAAACCACGTGACGCCATGGTAACAGTGCCTCCTCCACCTGTGTGTCACAAGGTTCATTCCATCACCTCCGTACACCGGTACAGCATTCCTCCCACCATCGAGCATCTCCTGTGGACCCCATTCATCATCAAAAGAGTCTGGGTCACCAGAGCCCGTTGCTGGAACTACAGGCCACATCTTGGTGCATGGCCCAAAGCGTGGACAGAGTCAGGAGCCAGTGTTGATTTCAACAAGTGCTACGCTTTCAATATTATCCATATGCCAAAAATAAACTACTTACATCCCCAGTGCACATCCCACTCTGAGGTCTAGAGTCACATATACCAACAGCCTACGTAGTATTCTACGCTTGGATTTCTAACAGCCATCTTCAGCCTTAACATGTCCAAATCTGAAACCTTGCTCTCCCCTCAAAACTCTTTCTCTGCCTGCAGCTCAGAGTCATCTTTGAGTCCCCTCTTTCAAGTTCATGTGGAATTCATCAGTTATCCTGTTTCCCCTCTCTTTAAAAGAGATCCTGCACCTGATCTGTTTATCATACCCACCATTACTAGCAGCCCAGAGTTGTACCTGGATTGTTGGAGTGGTCTACCTTGTCTCCCTTGTCTGCCTCTTACACTGTAGACTTAACTTAGCTGCAAGAGTGAACTTTCAAAATGTTAAGTCAGATTATATTACTCCTCCGCTTACATGGCTACACAGTCCCATGTCATTCAGAGCTACCATTCCTCATCCAAAGACTGCAAGTCTTTGCTCTCCCAATCTTATTCCCATTACTTCTCTGTTCTCATCTCCTATCCCTGACCTGTTCCTGCCCTAATACCTTCCTTGCTGATTCGTAGCCCTGGGGCCTGTGGGCCTCCTTAAAGTAATTCCTCAAATGGCACTATACTGGTTGATACATTGTGTCAACCTGAAATCTAGAAGCTTAACTAAGTAACTCAGCAGTTCTACATCCTAGGGTGTACAGGACATGCCCTTATACTCTAGGATGTTGTTCACTGTGTTAACCTGACAAGTTTAGATGTTTAACTAAGCAACTCAGCAGGGAGCCAGGGTCCTTACTTTGTAGACATCCTGAGCCTGTGCAAGAGGAGGGGCTGGAGAAGGTGTGGGTATGGGTGTGGGTGGGAAGCCGGCGTACAATATAAGGGAGGGAAAGAGGCTCGCTTCCCCCCACTTTTTGCTCTTGTTGCTTTTGCTGTCTTCTTCCACCTTGAAGTATTGCCCTTGTGCCATGACACCCTGCCTTGCAGCCAGCTGATTACAGGCTGAAAACTCTACAAACTGTGAGCTAAATAAACCTTTCTTTCCTTAATTTTGGGTGTTGGGTATTTTGCCTCATCAAGCGAGAGAGAGAGAGAGAAAGAGAGAGAGAGAGAGAGAGAGAGAAGTAACCAAGACAGGCAGCTTCTCAATTAGGCCTACCCTGACAACCTATTTAAGATTCTAAATCAACACCATACATTCTATGCTCTGCTCTACTTTTTTCATAACAGCTATCACTTTATTCCAGCATACTATATAATTTACCTATTTAAAATATTGATTGCTTATTTTCTGTCTTACTTAAATAGAATACAGATAGTTCTGACTTAAAATAATGTGGAAATTAAAAGAAACCCATAGAAATTCAGAGTCATTTGAATTTTTGAATTTTGATCTTTTCCCAGGATAACAATATCTGTAACGGTACATTCACAGGACGCTAGGAGCAGCAGTGAGGCGGAGCCCCAATCAACCATGAAATCATGAGGGTAAACAACCAAAACTCTGGCATATATTATGTCACCAGCATTTTGATACATGTATTCAATAAACTACATGAGACACTCAGTAACTTACTCTAAAATAGGCTTTGTGTTAGATGATTTTGCCCAGATGTAGACTAATGTACATATTCTAATTGCATTTAAAGTAGGCTAAACTAGGCTATGGTGTTCAGTAAGTTAGACCTTTTAAATGTATTTTGATTTAAGATATTTTCAACTTAATAATACAGCCACTGATACACAATCCCATAACAAGAATCATCCTTATAAGTTACACAAAGCCAGGAATTTCATCTGCTTTGTTCAAGGGCCTGACACTGTAACTGGAACATAGGAGATGGTTACAGGGAGTATTTATGGTCCAAACTTATGGATTTTGGTTCTCCACTAAAATTTATTTATCATATAACACTGAAGATTTTGTCTAGATGTTAGCATTTTTAAATAATTTGATAGTACTTCTACCTTTAAGCATAATGCCAATAGTAATAATAATCATTAAGTATTAGAAGGTTACTTTAATGTATTTCTTAAATATAATTTTTTAAGCCTGTAATTATAATGCAGATAATAGTATACTTTTGATATTAGATCAATAATTTCTAAAATGTTTCCTTGGGGTACTAACTCCAACATGGTCCATAATAAAAATGATCCTTGGACAGTCACATTTGAAAAACCCTGTATACAATATCTCTACTTTTGCACAGCACAACTAATATTAATGATTCTGAAAAACCTGCCATGAGGGTATAAGAAGTCCTAAAGGGCTTTGTGAATTTTTAAAATGCAACGTTTCCCAAATGGGCTTTATAATCCTTTCTTCATATAATTCTTTTCCTCAATTTCTATAATGCCTTTTCAATTTCCAGGAAAGCCACTTTAGGAAAGCCTAAATTTGATGGTTCTATTAGCAGCTACTTATACATTTCCTAAAGCTTTTATCCACTGCTTACCTATTTTTCAATGTCTATCACTTATTCTACCTGGGAAACAGTTCTTAGAATCTGCCTCCAGCAGGCTTTCTACTTCTCACCTTTAATCCTCTAACCCCAAGAGGTATTCTACATTCATTTTACAAATGAGAAGGCAAGGCTTAGAAGGTAAAGTAATTTACCCAAAGATAATGGTTTGAATCCCGATCAAACAAGTTTCAGAAGCTATATGCTTAACTATGAGCCTGTGCCAGCTCATGTCTTCTGGTTTCAACTCTCTTCCAAGCTCTCAGCTACTTTGCATAAAAGTAAAATCCTGAAAACTCGGTTAAATATTCAAAACTCTGCATCTATGGGGGGACTTCAGCTCACCCCTCCAAAATGCCAAAATCTGCTCTTATCAGTCATTCATGGTGAGAAGGAACATTAACTCCTTAAACCCCCAACATATAATAAATGTCAATCAGATAATTTACATGTTCAAATGTCATTTACAACTGTGGAGAATTTAAAATACTTTTGCCCTCCTGTCCGCATAAGACTGGGTCTCCGTGCCAACGCTGAAATTGAAGCGGGCTGATGGAGACCAACAGGGTACAGCTGAAGAGATGCTATGAGACATTCCAGGCTGCCGTAAAGGTCATGTGGCCTCCTCTCTATTCACTATGCCACTCGCTTCTGAAATTCTACTGGTCTGAGGCCTCCACAGGGAGCTTCATGTATGGATGCTCCAGTCCACAGGCAAGTTGAGTGCATCTTTCAAGCCCTGCTCCTATTCTTTAACCACAGAACCATGAGACGCCCTGAAATGTTTGTTAAAAGCCATTGCATCTGAGGTTGTGCGCTGTCTTCAGCAGATAACTGAAATGACAGCTCCGCAGACAATATAATCATCAGCAACTCTATAGTCCAATACATATGATTTCTTAGTAATAATATTTTCTTTGTAAATATGTAGATTGACTAAATGATTTTGCTAAGAAGCAAGAATATAAAGGAAAATTCCAACATGTTATTTTATGAGTCTGCATTTGAAGAACGTCTGTTCATTGCCAAGATGAACTTCCTAATATAGCATGAAGTAGTGGAAAGACAAGTCCTGGATCTGGTCCTAGTTCAGCCACTTAGCTACAAGACTTTGGATAAGTCATTCAACCTCTCTGAGCCACAGTTTTTGTGTTCTGTCCCATCTACCTAATATGGAGGTGAGAAAGATCAAGTTAAATAATGTTTATGCAACTGCATGGCCTTAGTGTTATCATATGGTGTTAGCCACCATGAAATTTTTATAATAGTTTCCATGTTGTCAAACACCATGGCTGTATCTCTGACCTCATGGAGTTCATCCTCTGGGTGGCAGCATCTATCTCTAGGGACCATGATCAAGTTTGTGAGCTTTTTCTCACCCTCGGCTTCCTTGACACTTGGTCTCATCCACCTTAAAATCTGGTTCTTCACATTATTTGCATATTTTTCTCTTCTATCATACAGTCAATATTGGAATAACCCCATGTTTGGTCCAGCGGCCCTCTACATGTCTCTATCTATACTCTCTCCCTGTGAATTCTTATCCCAAACACGGGATGAATATACAGAAACTATATTCTACTGTCAAAAGTTTGCCTCCAACATCTACTGCTCCACTGAACTCCAGACTTCTGTATCTGATAGCAGGGATAATATCTCCACTTGGACATCTGCAAATGATCCTTGTACTTGGAAAGAAACTACTGATTTCCGCCTGCCCTCCAAAGCAAACTAGCTCAAGTCATTGTCATCTTCAGAAATGGGACTTACCATCAGGGCCAATGCATATTACTATATAAGTTCTGCAGAATGAAATCCACACAGAAATACTTGGTGGCCTTCTCAGTTATCTTTAAATTCCCTTACAACCTGCTGGCTAACATAGTTTTCCAGTTCTCTGATCATTTCTGCTGCCATTTTAGTTCCAGCTACCACCAACTGCAGGATGAACCAACGCAGCAGCCCACAAATTGGCTTCTTACTGACACTTACACCTGCCTTAAAACCCATTTTCCACACAGCAACAAGGATGATTTGAATTATGAATCATATCATGCCTTTTAGACCAACTGAAATCCTCCACTGGTCTCTTGGTACACTCAAAATTAGATCCCAACTTCCATTGTTGGTGTACAAGGTCTCCAAGGGCCTGGTGCAGTCGACTCTGCAGCCTCATGCCAGGGCACTGTCCCTCACTCATCTGCTCCGGGTATCCTGGCCACTTTCTGTCAGCCAGTGTAACACATCACCAGATTTTTAAACTCACTCTAGAACTAGCCAAGAAGAGAAAAAATAAAAACACCGTACCTTCATGTTACTGAAATTCTTTTTGTATGTATCCCGTTTCTGGAAGAGGGTAGCTGCAAACGGTGAGACTTCCAGACCCATCTGTGACATGCACTCTGTTTCTCTGAATAATATTAATATCTGAGGATCAAAGTTCACAAACAGTTCCCCTGTGCCAGGCGCCTTCACCAGTAAAGAAGCCTCCAAACCTATGTGAATTCCTTCGATCTGCAAGAAGAAGTCAACATCACTACTATCAGAAAACTCAATGCCTACACAGAGAATCTATCTCAGCCATTTCTGGGAATCAGGTTCTTCAAGTGTCCTTGCTTCATGATTCAGCTTCATGAGTTACAGAAAATGAGATCACCCGCTCTTCAAAGTTCACACTCAGAAAATAGACTTCAGGTTCATGATGATATCACACAGTCAAGTCAATAAAATGTTTTATTCATGACCTTCACACTTGATGGATAAGTGGACCCTGCAGTAGTGGAGACTTCTCAAAAGCTATTTAGCTCCCCGATAACTTCAGTTACATTCCTAATAAAAGTTTCACAGAGCCTGCTAAACTCAGTTTTCAGCTATCTAGAGATGCAATGAATACAGCTATGGAGATGTGCCTTCCTGAAAATCCACAAAGAAACACAAGTATTGGTAGGGTTCAACCAGATTAACCACAAGAATGCCAAATAAAATGTAAATTTTGTTTAACAGATGTACTGATGTTTGCCAAAACATTCCAGATCTCACTGCATTTTAAAAAGGAAGAAACTTTTGTAAGTGAAATAAATCGGACCCACACGTGTAAACATTATATTATCTCCCTAGGATAAGACCCTCAAAGAGTAAATAAAACCCAAAAGGTAGAACAGATATTGTGAAAGGGAAAGAAATTGCTCAAAGGGAAGGAACAACTGGGATGAGGGAAAGGAGAAAAAGAAAGAAAGAAAGAAGGGAACTATATACATTTTATATATATATATATCCATATATATATGGATAGCTGGGATAATTGTACTGCAGATGTCTATTGGTTTATTGGAAGGAACAGCTAGTGCTTGAATATTCTGACAACTTTCCCTGCTTATATGGGGTAATCTGAACAACTAATTTGAAGGCAACCATATGCAATATAACAACCATTGTTGAATTCCTACCATCTTGTTTAGTGAAGCTCTGTATTGTTCCTAATTATTTTGTTATGTTTTATTTTCTTTAATGGTTTGATCAATCTTGCTTTCTTATATCTGGTAATCTGAGTGACTTTGCTGAAGATAACAATATGTAATATAACAACCACTGTTAATCCCTATCATTTTGTTTTGAAATCCTAAATCATTTTTATTATTTTTGTGTTGTTTTGTTTCTGTCTATGCTGTTGTTATTTTGTTATTGTTTTTTTTTTCATTCTCTTTAAAATAAAAAAAGAAATATGATCAATAGGGTAGGGAAAACAATAAATAGGATTTTTCTCACTTGGGAGTTTGTAAATTAAATAAAAATTATTTCTGTTACCTGGTTTAAGACTTTTGTCAAAATTAATAACTTTTATATTAGTAATTATTTTCTTCCTTGAGCGTATTTTAATATGGCACACACTCAATTACCTAGATTGAACCAAATGATTCATAAAGTACCTGTAAATGCAGCATCCTACAGGCACATCCCTGACAAATGTTAAAGGGGCGATTCCACTGTGTGTGGACAATGGGGGCCTCTCACGGAACATCCTTTAGGGGCTCACCTGTTGAAGCCATGCCCTGTGGTAGAGAACCTCAAACTCCAGGAGGACCCTGGCCACCCTGTTGTAACTGCGAATTACAGGCTTCGCTTCAGGCGTCCTCAGCACAGTTGGGTGCTCTTGGAAGAGCTGCATGGGTTGCTGGATTCTGTGGAAGAGCTGTCGGGCCCACAAGATCTTCCCAGCAATGGGAGGCTGGTCTCGAGCCAAAGGAGGATCATGCTTCTGCTTCATATACAGCTTTGAAATCATATCAATGTCAGCACCATAGTTCTCAAGGATCAGTCGGTATTTATCATCAATACCGAGATTAGGTATATCCAACCTGATTAAAATGCAAAACAGTAAAAAGTTTGCATTAATGGAAAGTTATTTACTAATCTTATTTAGGAACATTGATTTTAAAACACACACCAATGGAAAAGAATGAGATAGTTCGGTAGCATATGAAAAGAATCAAAATAGTTTCAATTCTTACAGGGTAGGCAAAGCTTTGGGAAGAATTTTTTTAATCACTTAAGTATTAGACAGTGTTACTGTGGCAGTCACAGATACTTCAAGGATTAGCGTATACTCTATTTGCAGAAATAAAGCAAATCCTCAACACTTCAAAGAGGTAATCCTTCTAATCCTTTGAAAAAAACTGTAACTGTATGGCTCAGACTAGTAAGAGAGGCTTTTCTTTGGTTAGACTATGAAATAATAATAGTAGTAGTAGTAATAATAATAAAATCTGGACTATGTTCGTATTATCCCAATTTAGAAGATGGAACTTAGAAAACTACTTTTACCTTTCAAATTTTTTTAACATACTTAATGCTTGATTTGTGTCTTGAATCTTTTCAAATGAAATATCCATGAACTTCTGTAATTCGTTCTAAAATAGAATAGAACTTGATTATGAACAATAAATCAGCATTGGGAATTTTTTATTTAGCAATACGAGAAAATAGCTCCCCATGTTCTACAAATATCTAAAATAGGGAACAAAATACAATAGAAAAATTACTGAGCTTAAGAGAAAATTAAATGCCCAGAAGCAGAAACACAGATCTGAAAGCCAGAGTTGCACCAGACTGGGCTCCATGCATGCCAGCCAGACACAGGGCAGTTATACGGCCTGGGGCTAGGTCCCAGTGTGGGGAGAGAGCTGCATGGTCCTGCTGTTCTTAACATATCCTATGGAAGTCCAGGAGCAAAAAGTGCTGCCCAGATCCTGCAAAGGGAGTTAAGTGACTGCATGTCTGGAAAGCTGCAGTGAGGCTTGCCACCTGCTAAGAGCTTGAATGGTGAGAAAAAATTACTCTAGAACAAGGTTCCCATGCATTTTGTCAAGAACCGAATAGTAAATATCTTCAGCTTAGTGAGACATAGGTCTCCTTCACAACGACTCACTTCTGCCACTGTAGTACAAGCCGTCAGGGCAGGACTTGGACCTTGGTATCATTTGCTGACAAACCCCTCCCTGCCCCACAGCAACTGAAACCCTACACATCCCACATGGAGGTGAAGGGCTCAAGTTGATATTGCGCACTACATGAAAAGGATCACCCAGGAAGCTAACAGAAAAGTTAGTCCGGAAATGTAAAGCCCTGAGACCTGCAGCAGAAGCAATACAAAGTCAAGCTGCAGAAATGCTTCCAAAGCCACAAGATTCCCCCAGGAACTACATAAGTAACTCCAAAAATAAGACCAAGGGAGACTCTGAAAAACACATGAGCAAATGATCTCTGAGAAAGAAACAGCAGGATGCACAGAGAACCATGTCCCAGGTCCTAGGAATGATGGAACAGTCTGAACGAGACCATAAAACTGTTAAAGAGTAAAGAAGAAACAAATAACGTAAAAGAGAAAGAACGCAGAATTTAGAAAACAAAACTCAAATACAGAAAAGATAAAATTATTGCAATCAATGTACAAAAGAAACAAATCACATATACTTGAGAATAAAATTAGGAAATTTCAAGAGAGTTCTAAAAGTCACTCAACATGTAAAGAAATTTTTAAAAAGGAAAATGCAGGAAATAAAGTATAATAGAAATGGAAGTTAGACAAGGGAGGGCTAACCAACATCTATTGGAAATCCCAGGAAGTGGACCTAATGTACAAACATGTACCGTCAAAAACTGTGGTGAGTGCTACTGCTGAGGACCACCTAGGTAGGATCGTCATCAGAACAGTGGCACATGGAACACTAAAAGAAGGTGTGACAGGTTTCAACCTGTTCAGTGAAGTCAGTTGTAAGCTACAGAAGAGAAAATGTATGTTTTACATGTGATATAAATCATGATGTATGACCAACACATTCACATGAAATTTTGCTTCAAACTACAAAGAAAAGTACTAACAAAACATGAGATGTTAAAAAGTAGTTTATGAGAGATGAAACTTGGGCCAATAGTTATGATCCTGAGACCAAAACTTAGGGTTCCCAAAGAAATCATCCAGTTCTTGTAAAAAAAAAAGTGTCAATCAAGATTGAATATTAAGGAGACATTGACTTTGGTTTTGACCTTGATGAAATTATGTGAGCTGAATTTGAATCCAGGACACTACAGTGAACTCTGAATATTATAAGCACTTATTAGAACATTTAAGAAATGATTTGCACAGGTGATAGCCTGAAAAATGGGCAAACGGTTTCACTCTCCTTCAGGACAATGCTCCCTGTCACACACAACTCTAGTAGGGCAATTTCTGTTGAATAAAAACATTACGGTACAGCTTCTGCATCTTACTGACTGGATCTGGCCCCAGGTGATTTCTGGCTCTTCCCCAAAACAAGATGACCATGAAAAGTAAATGTTTTGAGTCAATTCGGGACACCAAGGCAGTCACAATAGTGCAGCTGAAGATTCACGAAAGAGCCCGCTCCAGAAAGTGGCAGAAATGATGAGTTCAGTGTGTTCAAAGCAAGCGGGAATATTCTGAGGGGCATTAAAGGCAATGTGCCTTTCAGTGTAATAATTCTTTTTATTTAGACATCCACCATATTTGTTCGTCACACCAGTATTTCAAATAATAACTGAGAATTTTCCGCCATTTTAAAAAAAAAACAAAGCCTTAAATCATCAATGCATGAAGCACAGCAAATTCTTAAGATAGTTTTTTTAAAACACCCTTAAAATTCACACAGAGATGTCAAAGCGGAAGAGAATGATGACAGTAAAAGCAATGAGAGGGCTGGAAATTTAGCTCAGTGGCTCGGTGCCTGCCTGGCAAGCACGAGGTCCTGAGTTTGATTCCTGGTACCTAAATAAATAAATAAATAAAAGCAATGAGAGAGGGGATAAATCAAAATATCCACAAAGAAATAACTCATAGGTGACACGTACCTCATGGGAACAATAGATGTCAAAAGTCAATTTGAAAATAAAAAGGATTTTCTAAGTACCAGTAGAAAGTAACTTTGAAACTAAACTTACAGACTAGCATTACAGTTTGAAAGCAACTTTTAAGGTGTTTGGGGGCCAAGGCGGAAAGCATTTACCATTAACGGACTGTTGGGAAAATACCCCCGGAGGACACATTTCTTTAAGAGAGATGAGAGGGAGGAGGTGGCAAGCATCAACCGGAAGTAGGGAAATCTGTTACCGGGTTGTGAAGTCTAAAGAACTAGAACACTAACGACAGCAAGAACCTTGGAAAGTTTAAAAGCAAAGTGAAACTAAAATGCAAGAGAGCAACAGCATGGATATTGGAGGTAGACAGAAATATCAATTAATTTTAAACTTTCTTAGCTGGGCATGGTGGTGCATTCCTATAATCCCAGCACTCAGGAGGCTGAGGCAGGAGGATCATTGTGAGTTGGAGACCAGCCTGAGATACAAAGTGAGTTCAAGACCAGCCTGAATTGCATAGTGAGACCTGTCTCAAAAACATCAGGAAAAAAAAAAAAATTTAACTTTCTTAAACCAGGCATATGCTAAATCCACTAAAAATGTAGACACTATTGCTTCCAACCAATGGAAAAGAAATAAAGGGAACAGCAAAAAGTTAATACAATATAAAAAAGAAGCTATTTTAAGAAAACATGCTTAAAACATAATTACAAAATAGTAGGTAGTGAAAGAAAAGGAAAAATATTTTGGGCAATACTAAAAGAAAGGTGAAGTAGCAATGTGAATAATACACAAAACTGATTATAGGGCAAAGAACAACACTGGAGATAAATATGCTCAGTATTTATTGCTAATGGGAATAGCTCCCCTGGAAAATGTACCAGTTTTGAGCCTATAAGTATCTAACCAACTGAATCAAGACATATAAAATATACTTGACTTAGTCTCAGATTCTTAGACCCGATAGGTCAAATAGAGCAAACAAATGTGCAGTAAACTGGTACACCTGTTTGTAGGAGTCAGGACCAAAAATAAGTATGTGAAGCGATTTGCATCGAAGCTGTGGATGTGGCCTGTCCCGAAGGGTCAGCTAAGGACTCTGCCGCCATAGCATGGCCTCACCTGGGGGAGGCTTAGCCTTACAGCTGCAGAGGTAGGCACCTTTCCTGTGTTGCTCCCAAGCATATCAACTCAAGCTGAAGAGCCCAGTTCCCAAAACTGTTAACAAGGGTAACATGTACTTTCCTCAAACTATTGTTTGGACTTCTCTAAGAACACCTTTGTTCCCTTTAAACATACAGGACAAAATATTCCTTTAATAAACAGAGTGGTCATCACTCCTGTCCTTGTGTCACAAGTCCTCTTTCATCCTGTGACATGAGTCATTGGAGATCCGTCCCAATACTAATAATCGGAAACTACACTACTGAAACGGCCAAAATCCAGAAAATTGGAGACACCATGTGCTAGCAAAGATTTGCAGCAACAAGAACCGTATTCTTATTCACTGCTGCTGAAAATGCAAAATGGCACTGCCACATAGAAGGACAGTGTAGAGGTTTCCTAGGAAACCAAAAGTATTTATCCTGTATGATCCAGCAATCATGTTCCTTGATATTTACCTAAAGGAGAAAAAAGCTTATATCCACACGAAAACCAGCATGCCATGTTTATAACTGCCAAAACTTCAAAGCAGCCATGACAACTTTCAGTAAGTGAGTGGATAAAGAACTTCACAGCTAAATGGTAGAATACTTAGTGATGCTAAAGAAGACATGAGCTACTAAGCCATAAAAAGACATAGAAGAAATGTAAATGCATATTACTAAGTAAAAAAAGGTCAATCTGAAAAGGATGTATGGGTATGCTTCCAGCTATGTGAATTGTGTTGTGGAAGCCGGTACTGAACCATATAGAAGATGCTCTGCACCAAAGAGTAGGATGGCAACCAATTTTATTACACCAGCGGGCTGATGGGGATCGCTCCCAAAGCATCAGACCCGAGCTTGCTTTGGAAGTGGCTTATACAGGTTTTGCAAGCAAGAAGTACAGAAGCTTGAAAGCGTGGTGAATTTCTAATGGGTAGTGTCGGTCACCTATCGTTGCTGGACAGAAAATCCTTGAAATAAATGAGTAAGTGTCAATCATCTCTAGTTTGCAGCTGGAGTAGTCAGTCAAGGCTGACTGCATTTAACTGCTGAGCTATGTAGTGGGCTGGATCTTCATATTGTGTCCTAACATGGTATCATATTTTTTTTATACCAAGAATTTCCATCACAATTCTGGAATAGACAGAACTATGAGGATGGTAAAAAGGTCAATGGTTGTCAGGAGTCCAGATATTAAAAACATAGTGGTAAAAAAAAAAAAAATGGTATCCAGAGGAGGAAGGCATGAATTTTTAGGTACAGAGAATTTTTAGGACAGTGAAAATATTTTGCATGACACTAAAAGGTTGGATACACTCACCCACAGCAATAGAATGGACAACACCAACAGTGACCCCAGTGCAGACTGTGAACTTCGGATGATAAAGATGTGTTCTTGTAGATCCATCAATTATACAAAATATATCACTCTGAGAGGGGATGTTATTCATGAAGGAGGAAATGCATTTAAGGAAGGGTTAGAGTCAGGGGGTCTGTGGTAAATCTCTGTACCTTCCCTTCAACTTTTCTGACAGCCTAAAGCTGCTCTAAAAATGTTAATTTTTAAATGACTTAATAAAGATATAAAATATTTAATAACCCAATTGAAAGCCTAATCTGATGACATAAATAGAACCCAAACCCCAATGGAGACATTACTTTTGTCAAGCACACATAGAACATTTGCACAATTTAGCTATGAACTCTATACCACAGAGGACAACTCAGGAACACCAAAAAACTAATATAATGTATTCCACATTCCCACCCCCAAATATAATAAAAGTGTAAGTCAATATTAATATAAGAGTCCAGTTGGGTTCAGGAGTAGAGCAATTGCCTCGCATATGGGAAACTCCAGACATGTCCCTGGCACCACAAAGAATTTTTCTTTAAATGAGAGACAACAAACTATAATAGGCAAGCAAACTAAATTTATTCTCTTAAAAGATACCTGAGCAAAATAACCATCATAACGAAAGTTTGTGGTATTGTAAACTGAATGACAGAATATACCCTGCATATTAAAGTCTGTGGGAACAGCCATAGCAGGAATCCTTAGTATAAAAGGTACAGAGTTTCATGCATCTATTAAAAAATGAGAAAGAAACTGAAATGAATTATCAAAACAGTCAACCAAGAAAAGGCAAAAATAACAACAGACTAAATTCAAAGAAGAGAGAAAATTTTTTAAGAAAATGCAATAAAATTAAAAACAAAGAAACAGCAGAGAAGATTAACAACTTTGAAGCTGCTTGCTTGAAAGAAAAGAGAATACCGACAAACCTTTGGTTAAGATTCACCTAGGGGGAGGGAGGCAAATTCACACTGAAATTATCTGCCAAATGAACGTCTGATAAAGTGAGATGAATCAAAAACTAAATTTGTTTAAAGAGCATTAAAGACAAAATGTACTACAAAAGTTAGGACTTACATATCAAAGTTTAAAGAAATACTTCTTTCAGAGGATCCTATAAAGGTTAATATTGCCGCATAGTTTCATTAGGAAGCACATTAATTATATTGACTGTAACCCCACTACAGCAGGACATGATTATCATCAGTATTTTCACTGCAGTTAAAATGATACCTGAAGCTATAATCCCTGTATGTATTTCTATGTAAACACCATCGTCTACACACAACACTGGCAATAGATTTGAGATGATAAAGAACAAATAGAAAAACTCTTCTCCTGCCTTCATGAAACTTCTACCAGGTGTAGGATGGGTAAGGCGGGACATATAATCTGTCAATAAAGGTGGAAAGACAACTCTTTCTTCAAGCCTTCAAAGCTGTTTTCCAACATGTTCTTTATGGCCTCTCCTGAGAACTTCACACATCTTACACTGTTGTAGAATTTTGCCTGTCCCCCCAAACAATTGCACCAAAAACCTAAGTTCAAATTACTCTTTGCTCGTTGCGAGATTCAGTGCAGAGTAACAACTGAAATCTGAATTTAGTTAATTAAAATTTTTAAAGTGTATTTTATTATTTTCTATTTCATGCTTCAAGGTAAAGTCCCAATTAATTCCTCTTTTCTTCTCAACCCACCAGGCAGAAGTTTGGAGTCTATGCAGACTTAAAGTGACCACTAACAGATCACTAATGTAGTATTAAAATGAGAAAACCAGTTGATATGCAGTAAGAATTAGTACCAAAATAGGCTCAGTTTCAGCTAACGTTAGGTCAGAAGTGATTTGGCAAGACAAGCAGAGGGCAGAATTCGGGTCCCACTGGAAATACCAGCATCTGAGAAGACAGAGTTATCCGGGGGCAAGCGCAGTACTCCCTGCCCACCTAGCAAATTCCAAAGTTGAAGGAGCTCCAGTCCCATTACAATATGTCACTGCCTTAAATTCTTCCCATGATTCCTACTGAAAGTATACTTTGTGTATTTATTTATGTACTTATTTATTTTATTTTAAAGAGAAAAAAAAATATATATATATACATTTCCCCTCCTTCTTTTCTCTTTTCCCCCATCCCAGCTGTTCTTTCCTTTTAAAAGATAAACATAACAATGAAACCGAGTTTCAGTGCAAGCTATTAGGACAACTACAGTAGTTGATACACTGCATATTGCTGTCTTCTTAGTAGTAATTCAGAATAGAAGATACAGGCAGGATAGCTTGTCTATAAAATATTAGCACAAAACTTTCTTTCTAATGAACTATGAGAAACTAGCTGTGCAACAATCTTAACTACCTTGAATATGCATGTATTTTTTCCTTTTTTATTTTTATCAGCACATGTTTGCAGCATAAGGTGATTACCGCTATCATGGGGACTCCGAATATGGACATAACACATCGTAATGCTTTTTACTTCCCCCTTCCTCCCCTCTCCTGCCCTCCCTCCATCTCTGAATCCCTTTCTCATTTGCAAAAGATCTATCTCCCTCTTTCCTATTATCTATCTTTTATTTTCCACTTGGATTTACTGAAGTTTTTTTTAAAATAATGGTATTTCTTTTGCAAAGGTAACATCTGAGGATCAGAAAATTTCCCTAAATTGAAGAACTGTTTAGTGATCCTACCTAAATAAATATCTGAATGTTTCCTACATAAAGAATTTCTATGCATAAACTGCAGAACTAGAGTAGTTATAACCCTTCCACCTCTGCCTCACAGAAGTTAGTAAATCTTCACCAAGCCCAAACACTAGTGCCAGTTCTTCCTTGCTTTTCTACTACACAGCTGCACAAAGGCCTAGGCTCAGCTCTCTATGAACTTGGAAAACTTTGAGTTAGTTTCCTTTTGCCTCTGAGCCTGCAATCCACTCTAAGACTGGTAAGAAGAGCATACAGTATTTGGGGAATGGGCAATGAGATCATCATACGAGGCTTCCTATTAGTTCTGAGGTCGCAGCTCCTGCTCATCTTCCTCTAGTTCAGTTCGGCCCCCTCCACAGTCCATCCTTTACTATGCAGTTTCTTCTTCCCCTGGCTGGAATTTAGGCTTGGCAGGCTCTCACTAAGCTGCTAAATCACCAAAATTGAGCTCAAATTTACGATCCTGCCTCAGCGTCCCGGACTGTGGGGATCATAGGGATTACAGGTGTGCACTATCACACCCAACCAACACAGACCCCTTCCAGGCATCGAGCACAGCCTCCTCCACGAAGCCCTTCCTAACCCAGTCAAGCAGAATATGGATTGTTTGTTTTTCTCAGTTCACTCCCTATCCTGGGGGCTGCGGGAACAATGATCAGATCCAGGCGTGCTTTGCAGGTCTGTCCTCCCTGTAAGTTCCCGTACGACTCGGACTATGTCTTCTTATCTTTGAATCTTCACTCCTGGCACACTGCCAGCGGGCTATTTTTATAACTCATCATTTGAGCCCTTATTTGCCCTTTTGTATGCTATATTCATTCCCCTGCTCTAACTTGCTCACATTTCAAAGCTATCTCTGCTTTCTGTCTGATTGTGAGCTTTGAGGGCAAACCTATTTAATTTATTTCTGCATACACAACCGCAGCATAGAAGCCTAACACATCACTGCTGTGCAGTAAATGCTTATTTCATTACAGTGAGGAGAGGGGCTTCAAAACCAAAAAGAGACCTGGAATCACCACATTGAGGGCTTCTACGGCCTGGTAGAGCACTGTCTTTGCGATCTCCCACACATCCGTCTTATCTGCTTAAACTACCTCTGATTATAATCACGGCTATAAAGTAACAAAGAAATGGAAAAAAAGTCCCCATTCTAATGAAGCTACAGTGTTTCAACAGAAGATGAAAGTTATCTTTCTAAGAACTAAAGACAAGCAGAAGTCTGTGATTACGGATCATTATCCAAAGCTATATTTATGACCCTTTAATCCATGGGGAAAAAGCCTTTAATTATTCATCTGAAATCACAAAATGCAGGTTCAGATTGCTATCAGTCACCTCTATGATGAAAATGCCTCTCCCTTATGAATGGGTAATGATTAACAGCATTACATAGAAAGAAAAAAATAAACATGAAACCACCCAGTGGAATTTTATTATACAACCTACATGAAGGTCATTAGTCTGCTTGCAAAACTCTTCATAATCCTGATCAAAATCCATTTTCTTCTGGTCTAAGAAGTTATACTCCTTTTTCTTTATGGTTGTAATGATGTACTGAAATATGAGACAAATAAGATAAATTTTGATATTCTTGCATTACTTAACTCAATCTGACGCTTAAATTTAGAACCCATACAATCATTCCCAAAATATCTGTTTAAAAGGATGCTTATTTCTTTATTTACTCACATTGCTTAGTGCTTTTTATTTTAAAGGCAGTATAATGTTGCCATCCTGCATCCAAAATAGAAAATGTGTTCATGATGTTTTATATAGTTTAGGAGAAAACATAAAGTAAGAATTTTTCACCTCTGGAAAATTAGGAGGTATTTCCCCTAAAAGTTTCTTGTTAATCACATTTGAAATTATTTTTTTTTAAAAATGCTCAGAGCAGACCTGACTAAAACATTTTTTGTTCAGGTGTTAAATCATCTCAGAAAATAAATAACAAAACATAAACAACATAGGAAGAAAATGACTGTGTTACAATAGATGCATAACGACCTTCCAAACCTCAGGTGTCTTAAATAAAATGTCAAACCACAATCTACCACTTAAAAATTCTAGGATTAATTGCTTCCTTCTTCCCTATAAAGCTACAGACTGTGACTATGAAAGTACAAATTAGGCAATTCATCTCCTTGAAAACACTATTATCGGAAGTTTTGTTTGCTCTGAATGATGAGCTATAATGCTCTGTGATCATTCCTAACCAGGTACTAAGCCATTCTCAAACTCAGGTGCCCATTCTGTTGATAACAGCGTATCATTTTTATTAAGAATGTTCGGTCTCCTTCTGCAATCTCCTCTTCAAAGTCATCTCCATTTAAACATCCACTGAAGTCTTTCAATAGACACAAGTGTATAAACTGCATAACTTCTTGAATCAAGTTTACTAGCTAAAATCACCTGCTCCTTTGTGTTATACAACTACAAAACTAGTTATACAGATTAGCATTAAAATGTCTAAAAGAAGTATGGAAAAGCTACATTTTAATGTAGTAATTTAAAACATTTAGGAGCCAGAGGAAATATAGCTCCATGACTGGTCACTTCAAGAGTATTGAGTTAAATAAATGAAATTATAAATTGTGACCTTTAAAAAAACTAATCAAACTCAATATACTGAATCACGTACTGGAAAATCATGTATTGCACACCTATTATGTGCCAGCAAACCATGAAGGTACAGGAATGAGCAGAACAGACAAACCTCCCGAACCTTGGGTAGTTACACATTTAGTGGAGACGGGGTTTCAGGATATATGTAAATCATAAAGGAATGAAGGTGATTATTTCTGGCCATGGTAAATGGAGTAATGTGATATAGAACCAAGGTCCAGGAAATCTTTGTTGGAAGAGTTGTCTACATCAACCTGCCTGTGTGATAACCTAGAAGCAGCAGCTCTGGGTGGGAGTGGAAGCTCAGAGGCAGCTGGGGCTGGGGCTCTGTGAGCCCACGGGGGACTGAACCTGCCTTTCCTGAACCTGAGGACCAGCACGGGGAAGAGGGTGGAAGGGGGAAGAGCAGCACGGGGCGAAGGTGGAAAAACCACCAAGCAAAGATCACAAAGTTCATTTCCTTGACACCTTTTCAGCCTCTTGCATTGGCACCGTACATGAAATTCTCCCCTTGTGCTTTCGTGGACCACCTGCATGCTATCTCACTGCTGTCTGCTGTATCCATTTTAATCAGTATTTTGCTTTAAATTTTCAAAGCAGTTTCCCAGTATTTTTTATCAGGTTAGAAAAGACCTCTTATCTGCCTTCAGTTGTACAGTTCAACTAGTTGTTAAAAAATAACCTTTGAAATATGTCCCACTGTCAATTTTTCATTAAAAATGAAAAATAATTCATAAGATTCCAAACTGAAAAAATAAATGAATGTATTCTCGTTGTCTCAAAAAAACTGTCACTTTCAAAGCAGTGTGTCCCCCTTGCAGATGACACACAGCACCTTTATTGTTTCCTGCTATATAAAATTTTGTCTTTTTCTCTCTCAAAACTTGATGTACTCAGGAAATATAAAAAGATTCTTTATATTGGCCTAAACTGTTAGGAGTACAAAAAATAATATGTGGCAGTAAATTATACGATCCTTTTCAAATTCAAGTAAAAAAAAATAATTCAAATTCTAGTATCACTGTTTCCAAACAAGAAAAAACTGACTATATAAGAAGCGTTGTTTGTATGCTTTGTGTGAAGACTTTTTAAAGGCTTCAAGGAAGGACAGCTGGGACAATTGTACTGCTGATTTCTACTGGTCTGTTGAAAGAAGCACTGGATACTTAAAATTTTTTTCTTCTTTTTAATTTTTTAACCCATTTTGCATACTTATATCTGGTAATCTGAACAACTAATTTGAAGACAACAATATGCAATATAACAATCATTGCTGAATACCTATCATCTTGTTTAGTGAAATTCTGTATCGTTTCTAATTTTTTTTTATATTTTATTCTCCTTAAAATTTTTTTAAAATTTTAAATAAAGTCTTGAAAATATTATTAGATCACTGTACCCACTTTCAAACTAAGATTCATCGCACAGTTTATCAATGGATAAAGCAGAAAACAGTCAAGATAATTAGGAATATTAGAGCTACAGTACAATCTGGTCCTTTACATGTTTTAACATGTACAAATAGAATGCTTAAACATATAACGGACTATCACTCTGATGTCATCTACTGTCATCTGACACATTGCACATTCTTCATTAGATACTTCTTCCATAAGTAAATAAAATAAATTTTAAATTTTTTCCTGTGCTACTAATGAGAATTTTTCTAATGATTAATTTTAAACTATTAGAAAGTCTTACTTATAACCATAGCCTTAAAAAGAATTCAATTGGCATCATGATATAGTTCTCTAATAAATCAAATTCCTTATTGTTAAAGGGTCATGAGATTATATTTTATATTATAAACAGATGATCTGAATCATTAACATTATTTGCATAAAATATTAAGGCTGTTACAGAAAATAAAAGCAAATATAGTTTTAAAGTAAAATACCTGGTACTTAGTGACCATATCATCCAGTCCTTCAATGTTAGAGTCCTGTAAGACTGAGTATGTTTTGAGGGTGGTAAAGATGTCCATTATCTTGGCAAGGCGTCGGTGGAAAGTTTCAAATTTGCCAAAAATATACATCTCGCTAAACTCAAATTGTTTTTCACTTGGATTTTGTCTGAGTCTTTGTTTTGTCTTGTGAAAGCAGCGCTGGTATTCCTTAAAATCAAAAGCAAAGAATAAGAAGAAAACATAGGGGCCTGGAGCTACAGCTCAGTGGTAGAACAACTGCCTAGTGTGTACAAGGCCCTGTGCTCAGTCTAGGTTCTGCAACCAAAGAAGGGGACGGGAGGGATGGAAGGGAAAGGAAAGGGAGAGGGAGGAAGGAAGGAAGGAAGGAAG